TGGGTAGGGTCCCGCTCTCCACTCTTCTCCCTTGATGGTCCCAGGGACCCTCAGCTCCTAGACTGAAAAGTTAATCACTCCCCTCCTTGCTACAAAACATCTACCTTTGCATTTCCAACCCTCACAATCAGTCCTGATAACAAATTATCCACTATTGTATCCCAAGAGACCTATCAGCATTTCATTTCATCAGTCCCGCCTAGACAGATTGGATACTACTCAGTAGAGATTCTACCTTCCTCCATGCCCTCTGGATCTAGGTTTCTTCTTGAAAGCTTGTAAGCCAGTCACTTCTTGCCTTTGTAGCACCCCCTCTAGGAATTTTTTAATTTAGCTTTTTATTTGTTCTACTACCCAGTAGCTTTTAGGCAGGGTGTTATTCCATTTCCTTGTATATGATTTTGTTTCCTTGATCATCCTATCATTAATTTCTAATTTTATAACATTGTGGTCTGAGAAAATGCTTTGTAATATTTTGATGTTTTTAAAGTTATGGAGGTTTGCTTTGTGGACTAACACATGGTCTATTCTGGATAACGTTCTGTGTGCACTGGAAAAGAATATGTATTTTGCTGTTGTTGGGGTGAATGCTCTGTACAGATCTGTGAGGTCAAGTTGGTTGATTGTGTTGTTCAGTTTCTCTGTGTCTCTGCTGAGCTTCTTTCTGACTTTTCTGTCCTTTTTTGCAAGTGGTGTATTAAAATCTCCCAGTATTATTGCCTTTTTCATCAATTCTATTAGGGTTTGCTTTATGTATTTTGGGGCTCTTTCATTGGGAGCATAGATATTTATTATGGTTATATCCTCTGGTTCAAATTACCCTTTAACCATGAGAAAATTACCATCTTTGTCTCTTTATGCTGGTTTTTGCTTTAAAGTTTATTTTGTATGAGATTAATATTGCCACTCCTTTTCATTTTTTATTGCAATTAGCTTGATACACTTTTTTCCATCCTTTAACTTTTCATCTATTTTTGTCTTTGTGCATTAGGTGTATCTCTTCTAGACAGCATATTAAAGGATCTTGTTTTCTTATCTATTCTGCTACTCTCTGCCTCTTGATGATGTATTCAATCCATTGACGTTTAGTGTAATTATCAATAGGTATGGATTGTTGCTGACATTATGCTGTTTGTTTTTTGTGGTGCTGTTGGTTTCTTTGTTCCGTATGCCATCCTGTGCTGAGTTCTATTTTTTTGTGTGCTTTTTCTTATCAGTTTGTTGAAAGTGTTAATGTTTCCATAATCTTTTTTGACATTTCTTTTTTTGATTTGATGTATAGATATACTGTTTCTTTAAGGTTACTGTATATTTTATTAAGTTCTTTCTTTTTTTATGACACTCTGTTTAATTGTGAGATGTACCTGACCACCTCACTACCTGGATCTCTATTGCTTAACTTTTCCCATCGTTCTGATTAATGGGTCCTTATGTTTCGATTTTTGCCCTTCTACCATTCTATTCTTCATGTATGATAAAAATGATTTGTAAAAAGGAAATCATAATCCTTATCTGCTTAGATAAAAGTTGCACAAACTCTTGTTTGACAACTTTCTCATTAATTTGTGTTACTCTGTCCTAGTCAGAAGGTAAGAAGTTCTGGTGGCATTGTAGGATAACCACTGGACTGCTAACCGCAAGATAACAGTTTGAGCTTACCAGCTACTCTGCTGGAGAAACATGAGGCTTTCGGGTATCGTAAAGATTTATAGCCTTGGAAACCCTGTACAGGGTCACAATGAGTTGGAATTGACACATTTTCAGTGGGTGAAACCACATGTTATTTCCTGTTTCTCTAGTACAGCATATGACCAACAGCCAATGATACTGAAGTCCAAGGTGCACTCAGGACATTGGCAAAGAACAAGTTTCCCAGAATTAATGGAATACAAACTGAAATCTTTCAACAAACTCATGAAGCACTATAGGCACTCACTCATCTATGTCAAGAAATTTGAAACACAACTACCTGGCCAGCTGATTGGAAAAGACCTTTATTTGTGCCTGTTCCAAAGAGAGGTGACCCAAAGGAATGTGGAACTCATCAGACAAATCACTTGCAAGTAAAATTTTGCTAAACATAATTGAAAAACAGCTGCAACAGTACATTAACAGGGAATTACCAGAGGTTCAAACCAGATTCAGACAATGTGGAACAAAGATTATCACTGCTGATGTGAGATGGATCTTGTCTGAAAGCAAAGAATTTCAGAAATTTTTACCTGTGCTTTATTGACTATGCAAAGGGTTTCCACTGTGTGGATTACGACAAACTGGGGTTTAATATTGTGAAGAATGGGTAGTCCAGAAAACTTCATTGTGCTCAGGAAGAACCTATACATAGACCAAGTGGCAGTTGTTTGAACAGAACAAGGAAACACTGAATGATTTAAAAAATCAGGAAAGGTGTGTCCCAGGGTTGTATTCTTTCATTATATTTATTTAATCTGTATTTTGAGCAAATAATCCGAGAAGCTGGATTATACGAAGAAGAACATAGCACAGGATTAGATGAAGACTCATGAACAACCTGAGATATGCAGATGTTACAATCTTGCTTGCTGAAGGTGAAGAGGACTTGAAATATTTATTAATGAAGATCAAAGATCACAGCCTTCTATATGGGTTGCACCTCAATGTAAAAAAGACAAAAATCCTCATAACTGGACTAATATTTAACATGTTAAATAAAGAAAAGATTGAAGTTGTCAAAGACTTCATTTTACTTGCATTCACTATCAGTACACATAGAAGTAGCAGTCAAGAAATTAAATGACGTATTATATTAGACAAATCTGCTGCACCAGACCTCTTCAAAGTGTTTAAAAACAAAGATGTCCATTTGAAGTCTAAGATACCCCCGACCCAAGCCATGGTTATTTTCAGTAGCCTCATATGCATGTGAAAGTTGGACAATGAATAAGGAAGACCTTAGAAGAATTGATTCATTTGAGTTATAGTGTTGGAGAAGTATATTAAAAGTACCATGGACTGCCAGAAGAACAAATAAATCTGTGTTGGAAGAAGTACAGTCAGAATGTTCCTTAGGAACTAGCCTGCTAAGACGTCATCTCTCGTATTTCGGACAAGTTATTAGGAGGGACCAGTCCCTGGAGAAGGACACCATGCTTGGTAAAGTGGAAGGTCAGCAAAAAAGAGGAGCCCCCCACCCCATAAGATGAATTGGCACAGTGACAGCAGCAGCGGACTCAAGTGTAACAACGATTGTAAGGAGGGCACAGGACCAAGCAGTGTTTTGTTTTGCGTAAGGATTACTATGAGTTGTAATTGACTCTAGGACACCAAACAATATAGCATGAACTTCCCATTCCCACCCCTTTGCAAAGATTATGCCTTCTGCCAGAAAGAAATATATTTTACATTATGGCTCTATGCAAAGTGAAAATTTCACATAACATGTTTGTGTACTTTTTTTAAAGTTTCTGTTCTATTGTTTTTTTTAGTGTTGATTGTTACTCATTGAATTTATTCCAGATTGACAACCCATGGTTTGAAAAACGTGTCCTCCAGTTATTCTCTGAGTCCCTTGTTTGCTTCTGTCATAACACTTATGTTGTTGTTGTTATGTGACATTGAGTCGATTCTGACTCATAGTGACCCCGTATAGGGTTTCCAAGGAGCAGCTGGTGGGCTTGAATCACCGACCTTGTAGTTCAAACAACTTTGCAGTCTGGTGCATTAACCCACAGCACCACACCAGGACTCCTAACACTTGTAAGAATAATTATTTTATCTTGTTTTACATGTTTTGTTCTATGGTCCCCATGTAAGCGTCATGGTATATATCATGTCTTATTTGATGTTATTTACCTAGAACCAACAAAGTGCCATGGAGTTGGCTCCAACTCTGTATACAAGAGGACTTCAAAATGTTCAAAGAAATTTTTCATTGTCTTTTGGTCTCATTTCTCACAAACTCTTTGAAGCTTCCTTAGATAGCTGAACTGGAACCCATTGTGCCCTCCAGTTGATTCTGACTCATAGTGCCTCTAAAGGACAGAGTGGAACTCACCCATATGATTCCCAAGGCTGAAATCTTTTACCTGGAGTACACTGCCACAGTTGTCTCCCATGGAGCAGTTGGTTTGAACTGACAACCTATTAGTTAGAATCCAAGTGTTTTAACTGCACACCACATTCCTTTTGAACAAAATAGGGGAGAAAATCTGGGCTTCTGTTAGCTTCTTAAAAACTTTTTTAGCTAACCCTTTTGTTTTCAGCCTTATCAGTACTTGTTCTTTAAAAGTACCTTGTGCCTGCAATTCCCTCCTAGATTCTAAACCTTGAATAAGGTACCTACTGCTCTCACTCTTCACACTCCACAACTTAGTTTTCTGCTTTCTCTAGTCTAATAACCTAGTACAACTTGTCCATCTGTTTTCCATCTTCAAAATTTTGTTGTTTTCATCTCTTCTCTGGTATTCTTTGACTTGTGGTTTTTTTTTGCTGGTTTTATTCCTTTCACTTTATATAGGTTTTAGGAATAGTGGTTGTGATCCTATATGTGTAATCCCCTGCATGTAATAAGGAATTTATATATTTTTAGCTTTAATATCAGTATATAATTTAATAATAATTTTTAGCTTTAATACTCATATTACTTCATCTAAAACCATACTTCAAAATATGTTTAAGGTAAAGATTTGCTATATTCTAAAAATATTTAGCTGCAGTTTTAGTTGTTTGCCACTTGCAGATTTGGATCTTTATGTAATGCTGTTTAATTTTCTTTGGTAAGACAAAATGTTCTAATTACACTGAGATTAAATATCCATTTATTTACAACATATTTTGGCTTGGCTGAGGACTATTAAAGTCAATAAACTCATTTCTATACTTGATATTGACAAGTTCTGTCAGATTAAAAAAAAACAAGTAAAAAAAAGGTACAACAAAAAACTAGACCCGTAGTATTTAGCTGAATCGGGAATAGTAGATCAACAATGCTCTTACTCTGTTTTGTTCTTTTTGGTTTTTAGCTTTCCAAGGTTTTGGATCTTCCACCAGAAAACTTGATCAAGTCAATTTCCGCAGTTCCAATTTCCAAAAAAGAGTTAAGTATAAGATATTTGTAACAATATAAATTATTGATGAGTTTGTTGATAGGCAAAGCAAACGAACAAAAAATCCCTTGACTATCCTTCAATTTACAGAATAGATGTTGTTGTTAAGTGCCATTGAGTGGGTTCCAATGGATAGTGACCCTGTCTAGAGTTTCTGAGGTTATAAATCTCTGCAGGACCAGAAAGCCTTATTTTTCTCTTGTGGAGCTTGCTGGTGAGCTCGAACCCCTTATCTTTTGGTTTACAGTCCAGGACTTATCCTACAGAGCCACCACACTCCCCACAGAATACATAATTCCTGAAATTAACTATAAGGTATGACTCATATTCAGTCTTTTTTCTTTTTCATTGACTTAAATAATACAGTTTGAATTTGGATTTTACAAAGTCTGATGTGGCAGATTATATTATTGTTTGTATATTTGTTGCTTTATGGTTATGTTGTTGTTAAGTGCTATAGAGTGAGTTCTGACTCATAGTGACTCTATATAGAGTTTCAGAGGAGTGGCTGGTGGTTTGAACCTCCAACCTTGTGGTTGATAGTCCCAGGCTAATCCTGCAGCAGCACACCAGGACTTCTTGTTTATGCTCGTAGCTATAATTATGGCAAAGTAAGAAAAATTAGGATTAAGATTAAGGTTGGCAAATAAAAGAGCAGCAAATAAAAGAGCTAGAGTCTTTCCTGAGTTAAGATCGCAAAATCTTCCAGCACCTCTGTAAAGTGCTGCAAAAGACCTCTTTAAAGTATTAAAGAGCAAAGAAATCAGTTTGAAGACTAAAGTGTGCCTGACCCAAGTCATCATATTTTCAGTCACCTCTTATACATGTGAAAGTTAGACAATGAGTAAGGAAGATCATGGAAGAATCAATGCATTTGAATTATGGTATTGGAGACTAAATTAACCAGATAGGAGACATTTAAGTCTTGGGAAAGATGTGAAGATAAAATTATCAGTACCATTAACTCATTGTACTTTCTACTCCTCTTAACTTTGTCCGTTTAAGGTAGGGTGAATACCCTTATTCCAATAATAGACAATAACTAAAAAAGAAGTGGAAAAGGAAGAGAAAGGCTACATTTGACAGGATATATTTGGCCTTGTAGTAAAAGAGAGCACTTATAAAACAGCTTGTGGGTGCTTCTATCTTGATTCTAAGAACAGAGGCATCCACTGAACAAGGGGATCTCATAATTAGATGTAAATGAAGTAACATTCCAAAGCAGTTACCTATTTCATAAAATTGACAAAATTCATTCTATATAGTAGGGTGAATGTTGCCATTTTCATTTTATGTTCCAAAGACTTTTTAATAAGCTGAATTATCTTGTCCCAACGTTTAAATAAAATATCCTATATCTCCCTGAAATGCTAATATTTGGGTCTATAGAAATTAAATTTGCAGGGAACTCCAAATTTTTCTGGGCTATAATTCAAAATTCCACATATTAAATTTCTTAAAAGGATTCCTTCTTGTGATGCTATAATAAATTGCACTATTCCTTAGAGTACTAAAACCAAGTGTAACTGGTCTACATTTCTAATTTAGTTCTAAAATACTTCTAAGTTTCAAAATAATTAAGAAATATTATTTTTGTTATTATAGCTTATTTAATATACAAATTCAATTTGTTCAAGGTCTTCTAATTGTCTCAATTATATTTTCTACTGTAGTAGAATTTCTGTATAGTACCAATTTAGTAGATGGTATTAATATCTAAATGTTTACATGAACAGAAAGCCTAAGCTTCCTCCTGTAGAGCAGCTTATGGATTCGAACTGCTGACCTAGCAGTTAACAGCCCAATGCTACCAGGGGCCCTTTCTGATAAGACTATAATCTCTAAAATCTGTAGAAAACTATAATAACTCAACAACAGAAAGACAACCGATTACAAAATTGGCAAAGGACATGATAAACAGAAAGAACTTTCACCAAAGAGAATGTCCAGTCAGTTGACAAAACTACTTAAAGATGCTCACAATCATTAGCCATTAGAGAGATGCAAATAAAAACTGAAGTTTGATACCACCTTATACTGGCTAAAATGGCACTAATTAAAAACATCAACCATGTTGGTGAAGATATAGGGAGATTAGAACCCTTATTCATTGCTGGGGGTACTGTAAAATGATATAACTACTATGGAAAACACTATATACCCAAGATTAAGACTGCAGAATCATAGGGTAGTTCTTAAGGGTAGTTTTTAAGAAAATACTACAGTGTTTTCTTAAAAAACAAGAAATAGAACTACCCTATGATTCTGCAATCTTAATCTTGGGTATATGCCCAAGAGACCTAAAAAGTAATGGCATCAACAGATATATACATACCAGTATTCATTGCTGTTTTTTGCACAGTAGCAAATAAGCTCATTCTTCGGTTATCAACATGATTAGGTTCCAAAGACCAGGTCGTTATGTGAAAATAAACATTATGCAAAAATAGCATGGTGGAGCTGGTTCTGACCTCTTAACTTCACAAAGGGTGATGAAGAGAATCAGCGTCAGCATCAACTGAAGGTCAAATCCTGTGAGACAGAGGTCAGACCTGCCTCCACCCTCCAACCTTTTTACCAATTATGATGCCATCTGCCCTCCCACAGCACTTCCTGTACCTCAGTTGAATTCTGTAATTTATTGTAATGGCCACACAGAACTCTCAGACAATACTCACAATAATAGGTTTTTTAGGGAAGCAGTGGGTTACAAATTCAGGATCAGTGACACTCAGGACAAAGTTCTTCCATCAGGACAGCCTCTTCTCAGTCACTGTCCACAGGCACACATCTCCAGTCCTTAACTTCAAGTGGCCATGCAGCCACTTGACCTCTGCCAATTATAAAGCTCTTTTAGTCCTGCCAGTAAATGCCCAGAGACCAGTAAGTCTCCTCCTGAAGGCCCTCAGCTCTAGGTCCATATGTCTGCAAACCTAGCTCCCCCACCAATTAAGTGACTTGTGAGAACCCATCCTGTCACCTGCCTCTCCTCGGAAGCCTTATCAGGGTCACTATGAGTCAGAACTGACTCAATAGCACTTAACAACAACATTTGTCAGAAAGTCTGCCAGAAGGCACTGTGTTCTCACTCCATAGACTGGGAAGCCTACTGCTCTGCCTAAAGCTGGCCTTCTGGTTCTGCTGCTCCCTTCTGCTATCTCTGATGTCATAGCTCTATGTCTGCTGGATTGAGGAGCTTCAGTACAATGATCCAGAGAACATACTCTGTTCTTGGCTCTTCTTACTTTCTTTTTTTCCTGGCTCTTCTTTCTTGATGGTAGTAAGATGCTCCCTTTCCACTTCTGGGATGTTTCATTTTAAACTGATGGGTTGCAAAACTGACCAGTCCCCACCTTAGGGCTCCATACTACTTAGTTACATGATTCCACCCTCACAAGCACTGTACCAACAGGAAATAGTGGATGTTCAACCTAACAACAACAACCCTCACAAGAATGCCACATGCCTTATTTATATTATTGTTGTTCTTGTTAAGTGCCATCGAGTCGGTTTCAACCCATAGCGATCCTGCATAGGGTTTCCAAGGAGCGACTGGTGAGCTTGAACCACTGAGCTTGTAGTTCAAACGGCTTTGCAGTCTGGCGCATTAACTCACAGTGCCACACCAGGACTCCTATATTATTAGCAAGTTATAAAATCTTCTTGGTTGGCCACAAGCACCTCACATTTGCATAGCCCTACCCAGTCATTCCATTACTTGCTTGTCTGTAATACTGTGGTAGCTTACCTATTGCTGTGATGCTGGGAATTATGCCACCTATATTTTGAATACCCATGGTAGATAAGTTTTAGCAGAGTTTCCAGACTAAGAGAGATTTGGAAGAAAGCTTAGTTACTGAAAATTTTATTAATAGTAATAGTACATTGATGTAGTACCAGAAGATCAGCCCCTCAGATGAGAAGACACTCAAAATATGACCGGGAAAGAGTTGCCAAAAGGAGAGTTGACCTTCATGGCATAGATGGAGTAAAGCTTTCTGGATCTTCATTTGCTGATAGGGCATGACTCAGACTGAGAAGAAATAATGCAAACATCCACTGATAATTGAAATATTGAATGTATGAAGTATAAATATAGGAAAATTAGAAGTTGTCAAAAATGAAATGGAACACATAAAGATAGAAATCCTAGGCATTAGTGAGTGGAAATGTACTAATTTTGGCCAGTTTGAATCAGATAATCATATAGTTTACTGTGCTGGGAATTATAAATTCAAGAGGAATGGCATTGCATTCATTATCAAAAAGAGCATTTCAAGATCTGTCTTGAAGTACAATGCTTTCTGTGATAGGATAAAATCCACATACTTACAAAGGAGATCAGTTAATACAACTATTATTCAAGTTTACACACCAACCACTAAAGCCATTGAGGAAGAAATTGAATGCTACTTAACCTCAGCAGTCTCCAGTTGATCAAACATTCAGTTAAGATATGTTGATAATTACTGGTCATTGGAATGCAAACTTTGGAGACAAAAAGGAAGGATTGTTAATTTGAAAATATGGCCTTGGTAATAAAAATAGCACTGAAGATCGAATGATATAATGTTGCAAGACCAATGACTTATTCATTGGAAATACCTTATTCAACAACATAAACAGTGATTATGCACATGGACTTTGCCAGATGAAACACACAGGAATCAAATTGACTACATCTGTGTAAAGAGATGATGGAGAAACTCAGTATCATCAGACTATACAAGGTCAGGAGCCTACTGTGGAACGATGAGTAGAACTCATCTTTCACCAGCATTCCTTGACTATATTCCATCTGAATTTAGAGACCATGTTAAGAATAGATTTGACACATTGGACACTAATGATCAAAGATTAGATAAACTGTGGGATGGCATCAACAACATCATGTATGAAGAAAGCAGAAGGTCATTTAAAATACAGGAGAGAAAGAAAAGACCAAAAAAGGTGTCAGAGAGACTCTGAAACTTGATCTTGAATGTAGAGTACCTAAAGTGACTGGAAGAAGTTACGAAGTAGAAGAGCTGAACAGAAAATTTCAAAGGGCAGCTCGAGAAGACTAAGTATTATAATGAAATATGCAAAGACCTGGAGTTAGGAAACCAAAAGGGAAGAACACACTCAGTATTTCACAAGTGGAAAGAACTAAAGAAAATAAAACTCAAGCCTTCAGTTTTAAGGCCAAAACATTGAATTACACAGAAAGTATCAAAAGAAGTTGGAAGGAATACACAAGTCAGTTGACAGTAAAGAGCTGATCGATGTTCAACTATTTCAGAAAGTAGCATATGATCAAGAATGAATGGTACTGCAGGAGGAACTCCGCACTGTCCTGAAGGGATTGGTGAAAAACAAGGCTCCAGAAATTGAACTACCAGTTGAAATGTGTCAACAAACTGATGCAGCACTGTACTTATTCACTAGTCTGACTAGAAATTTAGAAGGTAGCTCCCTGGCCCACTGACTGTAAGAGATCCATATTTATGCTCATTCCAAAGACAGGTGACTCCAGAATGCAGACATATTGAACAGTATTAATACCTCATGCAGGTAAAATTTTGCTAAAGATAATTTTAAAACTGTTGTAGTAGTACATTGACAAGGAACTGTCAGAAATTCTGGCTAGATTTACAAGAGCACATGAATGAGAGATATCATTAGTGACATCAGATATATCTTAGTGGAAAGCACAGAAAACCAGAAAGCTGTTTACTTGTCTTTATTGACTGTGCAAAGGCATTTGACTATGCAGATCATAACTAACTATGGGTGCATTGTGAAGAATGAGAATTCTAGAACACTTCATTGTACTCATGAGGACCCTGTACATAGACCAGAGGCAGTTGTTTGAACTGAACAAGGGGATTCTGTATGGTTTAAAATCAGGAAAAGTGTGCATTAGAATTGTATCCTTCCAACATACTTACTCTATGTGTATAACGAGCAAATAATCTGAGAGGCTGGACTATATTAAGAGTATGGAATCAGGATTGGAGGAAGACTCATTAACAACCTATGATTCGCAGATTACACGAATTTACTTGCTGAAAGTGAAGAGAGCTTGAAGTACTTACTGATGAAGAGCAAAATGTTTGGATTACAACTCAGTGTGAAGAAAATAAAAATCTTCAATATTGCCCCAATAAATAACATCAGAATAAATAGAGAAAAGGTTGAAGTTAGCAAAATTTTCATTTTACTTGCATCCACATTCAACACCCTTTGAAGCAGCAGTCAAGGAATCAAACAACCTACTTCTTTGGGCAAATATGTAAAATACCTCGATAAATGTTAAAGAGCAAAGAAATGACATAGAGGACTAAGGTGAGCCTGACTCAAGCCTTGGTATTTTCAGTAACCTCATATTCATTCTTAAGCTATGCAATGGATAAGTAAGACTGGAGAAAAATTGAAGCGTTTGAATTATGATGTTTGTGAAGATTAGTGAATATACCATGGACTGCCAAAAGAATGAACAAATCTGTTTTGGAAGAAGCTCACCAGCTGCTCTTCGGAAATCCTATAGAGGGTCACTATGGGTCGGAACTGACTTGATGGCACTTCACAACAACAATAACAGCAACTGGTTACTCCTTAGAAGGACATGTTATCAGGAGGTACCAGTCCTATTAGAAAGACGTTATGCTTGGCAAAAGTAGGAGGTCAGTAAAAAAGAAGACCTTCAGGAAATGGATTCACATAGTAGCTGCAACAGTAGGCTTAAACGTAACTATTATGATTACAGTGTAGTATGAAGATCAAAGAGCACCACCTTCAGCATGGATTGCATCTCAATGTAACGAAAACAAAAATCCTTACCACTGGACCAATAAACAACATTCTTATCAATGGAGAAAAGATTGAAACTTGTCAAGGACTTCATTCTTCTTGGATCAACTATCAATACTCATGGAAATCAAGAAATCAAACGACAAATTACATTAGGCAAATCTGCTGCACAGGACGTTTTTAAAGTGTTGAAGAGCACAGATGTCAGTTTGAGAACTAAGGTGCACCTGACCCAAGCCATGGTATTTTCAGTAACCTCATACGCATGCAAAAGCTGGACAGCAAATAAGGAAGACCATAGAAGAATTGATGCTTTTGAGTTATGGTGTTGGAGGAGAATATTGAAAGTGCCATGGGCTGCCAAAAGAACCAACAGATCTGTGTTGGAAGAAATGCAGCCAGAGCGGTCTTTGGAGGCCAGGGTGGCCAAACTTTGTCTCTCATACTTTGGACATGTTGTCAGGAGGGACCAGTCGCTAGAGAAGGATATCATGTTTGGTAGGGTGGAGGGTCAGAGATAAAGAAAAAGACACCCAACAATATGGATTAGCAAAGTGGCAGCATCAGTGGGTTCAACTGTGACAAAAATTGTGAGGTTGGTCCAGGATCGGACAGTGTTTCATTCTGTTGTGCATAAGGGTCACTATGAGTCAGTACTGACTCAATGGCACCTAACAACAGTAACAACTGGTCATTGTTCATTATGTTGTACATAAGGTTACTGTGAGTTGCAACTGACTTAATTGTACCTAAGAGCAACAGGCAGTCTTTTGGGTAGAGTTAAAATGACTATGGCTAGAAGCGCCCTATCAAGTATCACTGCACTACATGAAGATGATCACAAGCTGACCTTGCTGCTCAATGCTTATCTTACTGTGCTACACCAGGACTCTTGATGTTAATTGTTGTTGTTGATAAGTGCCATCGAGTTGGTTCCGACTCATAGAGACCCTGTAGAGGGTTTCCAAGGAGCAGCTGGTGAGTTTGAACCGCTGACCTTGTAGTTCAGATGGCTTTGCAGTCTGGCACATTAACCCACAGCACCACAGCAGGACTCCGATGTTAATTAGGGAGCGGTTTCATTTTGCTGTTGAGAATATACTCAGTAAAACATACAATTTCTAAATGTATAATTTACTGATACTGATTACATTGTTGTACATTGTTGTACAGCCATTCTTACCCACCTTTTCTGAATTGTTGATGTTTTACTGAGTATATTCTCAACAACAACATAAAATTTAGGGGGTGGGAGCAGAGGGAAAATATGAGTACTGCTGAAGCCACCTATATATGTAAGCTGATTCTACTTCCGACTCTTTCCCCTAAAAATAGCAATGACTGCTGCCATGAAACAAATCATTATTTTTATGAATTGTTGTTTTGTGTTTCTTTGTTTGGCATTGTTTCATCATCAACCCAATGAAAATGACACATGGGAGTAGCTAAAGTGCCTCTTTAATGTACCAAGTCATAAGAATTATATTATTTTTTTTATGTTGAAAATTCAAATCACGTCATTTAAAAAGTATTTGGTTTGGTCAGTTTGGAGATAATAAATGATCAATTGAAGGGACCTTGAAATAGGCAAGTCTTTGGAAACATGGAGGAAGCTTTGTAGAAGAGGTGTGTTTGTTGTTACTGTGTTATTTTTTTTTCTTAGTCTACTTATTAGCTTGTAGTAGGGTTTTAACTTCTTAGACATTTTCATATCTATAAAATAAGATGACTGGTCCTCCTGTCTCAAAGGGATATCATAAAGCTACAATTAGGTGATAGAAGAGGAAGCATCTTATGAAATGATATGAGTTCTAAATAAATACAAGGTGATATTTCTAATTCCCTTGCTTTTTATTTTGAAAGCTTACCAACTTCTGATAAAATTGTATTCTTGTGAAGAGCCCATAATGATCATTCTTTGCTATGCTAATGCTATTTTAAAGTAACAATAGCTTTTTTCCATTTCAATATCTGTTTTTAGAGAAGTAGCTGATTTTCAGCTTTCTGTGAATTCTCTATTGGAAAACAACAGTGACCAGTTGAGAACAGATATTCAAGATCAAGCCAGGAGACTGGCAGAGAAGGTATCTTACCACTACTATGCCTTTTTGACATTATATTAAACTTAATATTTTAAAGGAAACAATATTCCACAGTCTAGTTTAGCAATAATAATGAGATTAAAGAGTTTTGGGGTTGTTGGTTTTTTTTGTCTTTCTTAGCAATAATAATGAGTTTAACAGTTTTTGTTTTGTTTTTATTCAAAATATCTTAGAAAATATCATTTAAATTCATTTTAGGCCTATACTATAAGGTTAGGATGATTTTTTTAATTAGTTATAAAGGATGCCGCTTGAGCTCTCATTCAGTTTTTTGATTAACTACGTAAAGAAGTGTTAATTAAATTTATAGATTGAAGCTAAATGGACTTCTGAATTTAGGAGAACAAGCTTGATACACTAGAGTAGTAAGGTGCAATTTTTCAAATGAGTTTCTGAGAAGATGGACATTAAAATATGAGAAAAATTATTAAATGTTAGTAGATTCGTGATTGCAGAGAAGAAATGGTTAGATGATGAATAAACCTCTGTCATTTCTAATTTTTTTGATGGGTTTAGCAGTGTGAATTAACACAATTGTATAGAATGATCAAATCTAAATTGTTAGTGTTACACTATCAGAAAAGGCAGATTTGGGGTAAGATTTTTTGATAGGTTTACAGAATCTGGACAATCTAAAGATTTGGAGCAGTGAAAGTCACTATCTTAGAAAAGACAACGAAAGTATAATAAAGGAGCTATGGTGGCTGAATAAATATTTTATTGTAATATCACTCCATATTTTTATCAGTAAGTATACTAGAAATAGTTATTTCTAATAATAGTATAAATGCTAGTGGCTCTTCAGTGACAACAGATATCTTTTCAAGTTCCATAGGTATCTAAGTACTCTGAACATTTAATAAGTTAAAAAGTGAATGTGTATACATATAAATTATTTATATGTTACATGTTGATGCAAATGCTTTAGGCCTCACATAATATCTTATTCTGTTGCTCTCATCAAAGATGGATGAGATTTAGTGTTTATTGGTGTCTATTCCCCCCACCTCCACCATATAGGGTGGAGGTGGGGGGAATAGAGTGATGGGTTATATCTTCCATGTTAGATAGAGAATTTGGGGAGAGGGAAAGGTAAAGAAGGAGAGACTGAATGCAGAAGACCGTTCTAGTCAAGAAAAGTAGAAATTGGATTTACGTAAATAAAGTAATGAACCGACTCTACGGCACTTAACAACAACAAATAAAGTCTTGGAACTGAAGAGACTAACTAAAGTTCAGATATAGAAAAAGTGACTATAAGAGGCGACTTACCTTATGCCTTTGTAAGCTGGTTTTATAATATTAGACCTACATACCTCATTAGGCATTTTTCAAACATACCTATTTTACTTGATTTGTTATCTTTTCAGCTAAAATGTGATACAGTTGTGAGTGAAATCAGCACTGGTGAAGGGACTGTAAATTTCAAAATAAACAGAGAGCTATTAACAAAGGTAAGACATTCTTTTCTAGCTGTGATGTTTTCACTCTCTCTAGCCATGGTGGTCTTCCTCCAGTTCTTGAAGACATTGTATCTCCTTTCACCTTGAAACCTTCATACATGCTGATCCATCTGCCTGAAGTGCCTCCCCAAGTCAACTCCTTATCCTTAACTCTTAATGTTTCCTCAGCAGTGCATATCTAACTAACCATCTCAATTATATGTTTTCATACATGGTATGTTGTTGCTATTAAGTGCCATCAAATCATTCGTAAGTGACCTTATATAGGGTTTCTGTGGAGCTTGGACCACCAACCTTGCAATTCAAATTGACTTTGTAGTCCAACGCATTAATCCACAGTGCCACACCAAGACTCCATACATGGTATATGTATGTAATATATAAGGAACCCTGGTGGTGCTGTAGGATAAGTACAGAATTTCAAACCCACCAGCCTCTACGCAGGGAAAGATGAGTCTTTCTGCTCCCATAAAGATTTACAGCCTCAGAAACTGTATGCAGAGTCGCTATGAGTTGGAATCAGCTCGATGACAATGGGTTACTATATACTGTTGTTGTTGTTAAGTGTTGTCAAGTTGGATCTGACCCATAGCGACCCTGTGTAGAGTTTCTGAGTTGCAGCTGATGAACTTGAACCGCCAACTTTGTGGTTCAAACCAAGTTTACAGTCCAGCGCATTAACCCACAGCACCACACTAGGACTCCTAAAAGTAAACTTCAGTGATCGGGACTCAAACCCAAGCCACAGCAACGAAAGCATCAAATCCTAGCACTGTGAGTTATATGTAATAATGTAGCCTTAATTCAGCATGTGTGTTGTTTGCAGAATAAGAATACATATATCAGTGGTTTTCTTTATTAATTTATATCCCTTATCAATCATTGAGGAGTCCTAGTGTGGCACTGTAGGATAAGCACTCCATAAGCACAAGGTTGATGGTTCAAACCCACCAGCTGTTTCTCGAAAACCCTATACAAGGCCACTATGAGTCAGAACTGACTTGACGGCACTTATCAACAACAACAAAACGGATCGTTGGATGTTTTAATATCATCCTGCCTGTTGATAAGGAGTCCTGGTGGCACAGTGGTTAAACACTTGAATGCTAACTGAAAGGGTGTTTATTCGAACCCACCAACTACTCTGAGAGAAAAAGGTGACAGTCAGCTTCTGGAAAGGTTACAGTCTTGCAAATTCTGTAAGATAATTCTTTCTGGCCCATGTAATTGTTGTAAATCAGAATCGACTCAGAAGCATTGGATTTTGTAGAATTATTAACCCTGTTTTATTTGTATTCTTTCTGTAATTTTTTTATCTTGTAAATTTTAAAACATACAGAAAAATTTAAAGAATAACTCAGTGGGTATACATCACCTACAATCAATAATTGTTAACATTTTTTTCATATTATCTTTGTATATATGTGTGTTTTTTAAGTTAGTTGAACGTAAATTACAGCCATTATGACTCTGCCCATAAACATACAGCCTGTATTTTCTTTGAAAGCTAAACATACAGCCTGTATTTTCTCTCACATACTCATAATACCATTGTGCTGAAGAAAACTCAAAATAGTTTTCTAATATTATTTTACATTTTTTAGGTTTTTAAAAAATTGATGAATGCCTGTTGCTCTTTGAACTCTAATTTCCATAAGGACTTACAGTGCCTGGTCTTACAGTGCTGGCATGTAGTGGATGGTAGATAACTAATTTATTGAGTGAATGGACTGTGTATTGAATACAAGAAAAGTATTAGAAATGGTTTCTGTTTTCTGGTAGTCCATAATCTTTTGGAAACAAGGTGGATACAGAAGAAGCCGTAACAAGCTCCTTATTCTAATAAAACCAGTATTTTTAATGATGGTGTATACAATAAACATAGGAAAGTTCAGAGATGGAGAAAATAGGATGACCTAAAGAGATTGGGGAAAAAGTATAGAGGATTTGGACCTTGATCGAGAACATGGAGGGCACATAATCTAGCTTAGACAGTGGTCTGAGACATTTGTTGAGTTTCATAACTTACCATAATGCAGGAGTTGGTGTATTATTTTAGAAAGCAAACAAAGCATCCATAGTATATTGGCCAGACTTAGTAAATGCTGCACATGTAAACTGAATATAACTAAAATACAAAAATTTTTAATTATTTCAATTTTTGGCCAGAGTTATACAGCTTACAAGCGTTGTCCCATGAGCCCTGTAAAGGGAAGGTATTGTTTCATGCATGTGTCTAGATCCTTTTTCTCTTATATTATTTTCACTCTACTTCAGGGTCAATTGTTTTTGTTGTTATGTGCCGTGGAATCGATTTTGACTCATAGCAACCCTGTACAGGGTTAATTGTTGTTGTTGTTGTTTTTATGTGCCGTGGAGTAGGAACCGACTCATAGCTACCCTGTACAGGGTTTCCAAGGGTGTAAATCTTTACGGGAGTAGAAAGCCTCATCTTTCTCCCGCGGAGCAGCTGGTAATTAGTTAAGCAAAAATCAGCCACAAAGACAAGAAGAACAGTTGTTTTGTTCTTGGTCTAGGTACAGATTTCTCAGAAGTACAATTAAGTGTTCTGGAATACTCATACTTCTCAATGTTGACCATAGCTTGTCATGATCCACACAATCGAAAGCCTTTGCGTAGTCAATCAAGCACAGGTAAACATCCTTCTGGTATTCTCTGCTTTCAGCC